TTTCATTTCATCATATCACAGAATGTCACTGGTGAAGGATGATGTGATCTGTGTCTGTGTGGCAAAAGATGATAGGCTATAAATATTGGCATGAGAGAAGATAATGGTAGCTTCCCACACTCAATTTGACCTTCCCTTATCCTGAATAAAGAGAGATAAGAAGGCCAAGCAATGATGTCCACAAACTCCCAATTGAAAATTTGTAAGGATAATAGATGGTATAGCTTAGCTTACCAGTTAGATAGAACTTAGCAGTGAGAGAGCACTCTTGTGTTGTGTTTGATAGAGGTTGGGGGAGCAAATGAAAATGTCTACCTTGAGCTCCCAATTCCACCTCCCAACCAAGTATCTTGCAACTTCAACTTCAAATCCTTCATTTCTCATCCCCACTACTTCACAACAAAAACACCCTGCATATCCAACAATATTATCATCTCTACCTTCTGAAGCTACAAGTATCCTTCCACCAACAGTAGCATATGCTAGAAAATCCAAGGCCTTAGTTATACAACATGAACAAGTCAGTGGGAACTCCTCCTCGTCGAGGTCAAGGAATTTGATAATGGGAGTTGTTTCTGTTGGAGTTGTGGTGTTTCTGATGGGGATGGACGGGCAGAAAGCTATGGCTCTGGGTCCTGAAGGGCCGCTGATGGAAGAGTTTTGGGATAATGTTAGGAGATATGGACTTTACGCTCTCACAGTGAGCACAGGTGCTCTGTACGCTACCTTCCAGCCTATATACGAGTTGTTGAAGAACCCCATCTCTGCAATTCTGGTGTTGGTAATATTAGCCGGCGGTATCTTCATCCTTTCCCAAGTGGTTACAGCCATGGTTGGTGTCTCTGATTTTACTTATGATTATGGATATTGAACTGATATATTTGAATGTGGATTCATTCTCTATATCTATTATGTAAGTAAAGAGACTTTTTGATGCATGTCGACTAGGAAGTTCATTTCCTATTACAGTTTCTCTAGACGCAACGCAACGCAACGCAAATTTGGCGTATGTGAAAATGGTAATTATTTATTTTAGGAAATCTTATTGTTATCCAAGTTTGGCAACTGGTAATTATTTATTTTCATTTTGAAGAGAACTACATATCTCTAGACTCAGTTATAAAGTCAAGCAAACTTATTGCATTTTATATAATATGATTGCATAAGAACAAGTCCTCTGTTTTTAACAAAAGATTTATATATTAGCTAGCTTGGAGCTTGGTTGGTGGTTTTAGTTAGTTTAGCAGCAAACTACAGATGAAACTGATAGAGGGTAGCGGAAACTGTTGGCATACTGGAAAGAGAGGGTTTCTCCAGGGCCTAGAGCCTCACCATCATTGACTAGGCAGTCATCAAAGTCATTGCGTCTAAACACTTTTGGATTGACCAGCCGGGCTGAGCTAAACCACCCACAGCTGACGTGAATGTTGGATATGCTGCAACCCGAAACGCAGGCGTTCAGGATCTCAACCGTGTAGGCTGGAATTCCATTGGGAAGTGGGGCTGTTTGGCCTTGCAATATCACTATGTCGTCTTTTGAGCATGCTGCCCCAATACGATTCATGTCTCCTCCTCCATCATCATCTGCATCTGCATGCACATCATTAGTTAAGTTTTCTAAACTCACTGCACATTATTATTACTGTCCCAAATTAATTAAACTACACTGATGTGAGCCTAGACACGTTAACCACGTCCTCTTACACCTAAAAATTAGCATTGCCTAGGCCTCCTTACCTAGAGGGTTAGTAATAAAAGGCTTCCATTGCAATTCTGGACACAAGTCCATCACATTCTAACACCTGGCATTGTGCTGGAGTCAGACTTGACAGATTAATGTTGGGGCATAAATGAATCAGAATCGGATGGTCCAAAACCAACCAACCACACAAGCCCACATGATCATTATGGATTATAATGATCTTGAGAAATTTAAAGGCCCAATCATGTCAAAGCAAAATTCATGTCTAGGCTCTAGCTGTCTGATTATAATAATCCAGTCTTACCTTGTCTAGGCAATTATTCATCAAGTCAAAATGCACTACGTAGCTAAAGATGGAGTTACACAGACATACATGGCAAATTAGAAAAAATAGTATAGCAAATTTGAAGGAAAGGTGGTCAAAGATTAATAAGAGTAGAGTAACCATAGGCTTAAATATTAGTATTACCACCAGTTGACTGCAACAGCTTCCGATGACCATAGCCTGCAGTGTGGTTTTCATTGGAAAAGACCAGCCTATTATTATTAATGCCAACACTACTTCCCAAGTGATCAATCACTGCATTTCGAGAAACAGATTCATTGTATTAGAACGGAATCGGTCATGACATGAGGAAAGTACTTTGAAGATCAAATGATATGAATGAGCTTAACACATCCCATAAACAAGTGATTACAAATGATATAATCATATGTATGGTCTAGACTCTAGATCCAGCACCATGGCAATGAGGGCATGCAATTTCATCTGGAAACTAAAAATGCGCTTCCAAAACAGAGTTATGGTGGGTTTAGGGAAACGATCAAAAAATGGCCGGCTCTCGCTGTTGCCAAAAAAAAAATGAAACTTGTATATGTAATATACGTACCGAAGAACAAAGCAATAAGCATCATAATAAAACCGAAACAGATGATCATCAGGGCCACAGAATTAGCTATGAAAAGTCTCCTGCTGCAGCCATTGCTCAGTACACCTCTCAATCTCATCACGGATGATCAGTTGCTTGCTTCGATATAGTATGTATGTTTTCAGCTAGCTAAGCTGCATGTCAACAAATAGTTCATACCAAAAAAGAAAATAGCAGGTAAAAGCGTGGATGCATCTTAATGGGGGGAAACTAACAAAGTATATATATATATATATATATATATATATGAATAATGAACCTCACTCACTCTTTTAGAGAGAAATATAGCTAGCCAATGTGCATGCGTTGTTCAAGAGCCAAAGAAGAAGGTGGTGGTGCTCAGCAAATCTGATGCTGTAGAAACTTGAATCTAATAAGGGAAGGGAGAGAGCAAAGCTATATAATATATATAGCTCGAAGACATTAATTTCCATCCATTCGAAATTGGACTTCAATATGCAATCTATTACAGAACTGACATTGCTTTTGGGATTTTGCATGGGAAAGTTGTTGACTCGTTGACTGCAGCTAGCGTACCTACCTATGTGGCTATGTCCCAATGAAATTGTCCAGATTCCAGAACTACAAGGGACGACACACACGGCCGGGTTTGAAAAATTGAAAAAAAGAAAAGAAAAGAAAAGAAAAGAAGATTATTGGAATTTAAAAAGAAAAGAAAGAAAAGGCATTTTATTTTATTTTGAGTCAAGGTTTGGACTATATATATATATATGTACATGTTAAGAAAGGCTTAGGAATTCGATATTGAAGTTGTCTTTTTGGCGTGATTCAATATTGTTCAACAAACAAAGCTTTAGGAACCAGCAGCAAAATCAGGAATTAAAATGAGGCTCTATTGATTCCTGATGACCTTTCCTCCTCCTCCTCCTCCTCCTCAGTAATATAAGTAATAAATTAGTGGTCCTAAAAGCAGTTGGTGCATTTACAGTGTGTAAATACACAAACACAATAAAGAAGGATATCAGCCTCAAGATTTCCCAAGAAGAAATTGCACCCCATGGGCCATGGCCAGCAACTTCATTATGGTAAGAGAGTTAAGACCCGGTTACCTCTAGCCTCTAGCTAGCTACCTAGAATAGATTATAACTTGAGGCAGCAAACCAAAAAGAAGATCACAGGCAGGCAGTGATATACGTGGATTTTGGATTTGAATTTGAACCGCTAGTGGTAGGGGTCAAGGTCAACTACAACATGATTGACAATGAAGGAGAGAAATTAGGCTACTTCAATTATGTGAAAGAGCAGCCAAAAGCAAAAGCAGAGAGCAGGGGAGGATGCATCATGCATACATGCAGGCTGCAGCTGCTCTGCTGCTGGGCCCGGCTGGCTGGCTGGCTGGCTTTTCATCTACCGTCCAAGTCCTCAGTCGCATCCCACATTAACTTAATTAAATTGTTTTTATCACAGCTGAAGTGATTGATTCAAGTTAATTAGTATTATACTTACTGCTGGTGCTGGTGCTGGCTGAACCAGAAGTAGTAATTGGACATCATTCACCTAACCAAGCTCGCACGTGCTGCGTATTAATTTACTGCATCTATTTATGGTAACTATGATATGTATATGTAACATGTTGTTGGGTCTCTCTCTCTCTCTCTCTCTCTCTCTCTCTACTTAAGCAGTCATATCTGTTTTCTTCTGATAATGTAATTATGTAATTACACATCAACATGGCCGTGGGATCATCTTCATCTCAAGTCATAGTACCGTGTCACCCAACGCGGATTTCAGGCAACAAAACTTGGCATAGATTGATTGCAAAATCATTAGTATAAACTTTTGATTCCGGCACAAGCAACCTCATTAGAATACAACCTAATTTTAAATAATAATAAAAAGAAAGAAAAAAGAAAACAGCCCATTTATGACGCCCTTATCTTATCTTAGATAGGGACTTTCTAGTTTTTGTGGTGTTGAGCCAATCATGTAAGAGAATCCAATTAGCGAAATTAAATAGGTCATGAAATCTTAGGTAGAAAGAAAGCCACTAGACATATTATTGAAGATATATAATTAACGCGAAGCTGGGGAAGGGATGATGTGTTAATACGCAACTCAATCATTGTTGCTATTTTCATTATATAAGAATAGTGACTAATAACCACTCCTCAAACAAGTTGAGTATCCTATTAATTCCTCTGTATCTATATATTTTGATGTTGTTGGCACCCAAAATAACCATCCGTATCATATGTACATGAATGAATATTAATACATGATGATGGTTTGCACCGCTCGACTAAATTTCAAACTCTTTTTATTATTAAATTGAAATATCGTATCGTATCGTATGGACCACTTCAACGAATGTGATATTAGGCAGTTTTTATATATTGAAGGCTTATAAATACGGGCTTAAGCCACTATAAACTTGCTGCAGATCAAATACCAATTGCTTGATTGATATTATATATCCTAATAATTTCCTCTTCCTTTGAATCTCTCTCTTTCTCTCGTTTTAGCTTGAGATTGAGAGAGATCAGAAGAAGAAAAAAAAAAGAGAGAGAGAGCGATGGCTGCAGCTTTGAGTTGGCTTCTTCATTCAGCTTGCCATGTTTTATTGTACCCAAAGGTCGACTCAGACTCTAATAGGGTGATGGGCAACCCTAACCCTAGTAATAATATTGAAGGCGATCATCATCCTTCAGGCTCAGGCTCAGACTTAGGAGGAGGTCATGTGATGAAGAAGGTGGTTTCTAATTACTCCAATAAGAGTGCAGAAATAATGCATCCTTCAGGTTCAGGCTCAGGAGGATTTCAGATGCCCCTTCATTACCCTCGCTACACAAAGGCGGACTATGAGAAGATGGAGGAGTGGAAGGTGGACCTGCTCCTCAAGCAATACGGGCTTGCTTTCCAAGGGACCCTTGATCAAAAGAGGGCATATGCAATCGGAGCATTCTTGTGGCCTGATCAGTACTGATATTATCACTCAACAATATTTATTTTCTTTAATTAATAATTAGTTCGTTATCTTCTATTGTAATATTGGACACGTACGTACCTACCGAGTCACACATTCGATCGATGAATGGATATATGTGTGAGCATGGCGTACCTATTATGTAAGAAACGTAGGATAAGAGGCTTCTGATTATGTGCATTTGATGTGTTTTGGTCTGTAATCTGGCGGTAGCCTATCTTCCCATTCTAGTACTACCTTATTATTATTGTTATTTGACAATTAATTAATATATTATATATGTATGCCTTGCCTTCCTCACTTATTTTTGCTGTGACCAACCAATTAACAGATGTACAAGTGAAATGAATACATCATGTATGTACTCTGTACATGCATTTGACTGCGAGAGATTGGCGCTAGCTAGCTAGCTCCTCAAATTATACAATAATAATTAATTAATTGATTAATAATGTCAGTTTCTTCATTAAAATCGGCTTGCCATAATATGCCATTGCCAAGCGTACGTCGGTGTATTTCCATTTCCTGATTAAGTGAAGGATGTTTTGCTGAACCCGTAATTGGAGGGCATGATTATTCTTGCAAATTAAGCTGCTCTGTCAAGAAGATCCTGCTCAAACTTCTTTGTCTATTATCTATATAGCTATCTCCTTTTTAAAAGCCAGCTGTCCAATGAATTTATGTCCCTTGATCATCTGTTCCGTGAATCCGTATCCGAGATGATGCCGTACCTAACCAAGCTTACATTATATCTAAACAATATGACTACAAAGAAAATGTTGCTGCCGTATACTATATATTATTTACATATATCCTTTTGCGGAGCTATAGTTTTTGTTTTCTGAGTTTTTATCGTGAAGAAATGAGAATTAAGAGGTCATTTTATTTCTAAATTTGAGGAGATAGATTTAGATTTTTATGAGTTTGAAGAGTTGTGAGAAATGGACGGAGCTACATTTTTTGTTTTATGAGTTTATGAAGTTGTGATTTTTTTTTTTCTCCCCTTCTTTTCTTTTATTGGCGTCCATTACAACACATGTTTGTAAGGTCGCCCAATAATAATAATAATAATTTTTAAAAAAGTAATTTGTGGGGCCGCTTCGTAATTTGCACCTCGAGCTCCACGCCTCCATGATAATAAATGTCTTAATTAATATATTTATTTTATAAAAAAAAAAGAAAAAAAGAGAGGAGACAAAAAAAGAAGGAAGAAAAAAAAGAGAGGAGAGAAGCAAAAGACAAAGTTGTCTGTAAAAACATTAAAAATATCAAATGGTATAGCACGTAATTATAAAGTTGTACATAGTATGATGAATAAGGTGTTGGAGAGGAATGAAAGTGGAAGGGGTTCGAAACCCCTTGTGCCGTGTGGACCAAAGCCAACCCAAGGGAATAACATTTTGTTAGTGCACTGCAGTCTTACCACCATGTCCTGGACTCCTAGACTAGTTGTAGAATATTATTAGATTTAGTGGTGACAACTTTTTTTCTTTTATTTTGGTGGCAGCTAGAAACTTCAAGAGAACATTTTCATTGTTCTTTCAAGTTTGATGCTTTTTATTTATTTATACTGATTTGGGCGGCCCTCTCCTGCACTGCGCCCATGCATGTAATAATTGTTTGAAACGCTCCATTCCCTGCCCACTCCTTCATAAGAAACACACGAATACCAATTGATAAGAAACATATTCATTCGTTCCCTCCCTTCCCTTGTAAGTTGTAACCTACCTTCTTCTGTTCTCTTCACTTCCACAACAGAAGAGAATTAATATATAATTATAAGCAGCAGTTATGATTATGGATCAAAGTAACGATGAGGATCAGAAACTCGTTGCTGTGCCTAAAAAATATTCGAACAAGTACTTGTTCTACTTGGGCCAGCTGTTGATGAAAAGGACTTTGAAGCTTCTACTCTCAGTGTCTTTGTTGTCTTTGTTTCTTCTTTGCTATTCTTCTTCATCAGGTTTTTCTTTATTTCCCTATTCCTTCACTGAGTTCAATGTTTATTTCTCCACGTTGCTTTTCTCAATCTTCACCCGCGCCCTAGAGAGGAAGTACATATTTCTCGTTTGTAATGGAATCCTTGCTTTTCTTGCAAAAACTACTACTTCCAAATCCAATGATAATTCTTCCACTTGCAGTTTCAGTTGCAGCACCACCTCTATTAATAATCATGAATCCCACGATGAGTCTCTGGATCAGGACGCCATCGCTTATGCTGCTGGTGAAGATGAAGGGGAATCGCCAACTCTACAAGAAGGAGAAGAAGACGACGACGACGGAGATGGACAACAGGAAGAACTTGAAAATGGGACTCTATTGCGGGCAGAAGAAATACCTCAAGCTTTTAGCGCAGAAGAAAAAGGAGGAAGTGAATCTTTGATAAAACAACGCGAAGAAGAGATGGACACACCACAGCTGGAAACAAATCATGTTAATGACTACTTAGCCGCTACTAGTACAGATGAACTCAACCAAAAATTCGAAGAATTTATAAGAAAAATGAAGGAGGAAATCAGGATTGAAGCTCAACGGCAACCCATTGCCGTTTAACCATTCAGCGAGCAGATGTGCCTCTGCACATACATAAAACATATACAGCTCAGTTTGTTTAACTCATCATCATCATCATCATAACAGTCATCGTCATCGTCATCATCAGATCAGGTTTTAATTATTTTCTTGTAGCTCTATAGCTGGTGGCTAGCTAGTACTGTAACGTCACTTGGACCTTGTAAACATCTCAAGTGTATGATTATGCATTCCATTTTTATGTCGTTGATTGCTCTTTCCATCCAATCATTTAGTGGAACGATTTATTTCTGAATCCTATTAATTTACAGTGATACGATATATCCATCTAGTCTTCAAAACTCTATACTACACAACAAAGCCAACGTTGCATTGCTTTGAAGAACAGAAATTGCAGCAAATGGAATGATGTGAAAAAATTATTATCTTTCGAGGGTTGAGGAAATTGCATTAAGATAGCTAAACTTAGGCTGCCCATCAGAATTCAGAATCAGATCAATGCCTCCATAACTTGACCATCCATCTACGCCCCAAAAAATTATCACTAATAGTAAGTAAATGCATAGGAAAATGAGATATTGTTTGACAACAGACAACAGACAACAGGCAAAAACAGCGAATGAAAACCGACTTTTAATGACAAATTGGTTGGGCCTTTTGTCATCTACTACTTTGTACAGTGCGCAAACCGACTCTTGATTTTTTAGATTTACAATAATCAGGAATATCACCGACACCTCGAACGGTGTCTCTAATCTCTTGAGAATAGGGGCCCCTTCCCTTTCCGGAATTTTGAAAGGAGAGATCTAGAACTAGAACTAGAAGCATTCCAGAGTGATCATGAGAAACGCAAACTGGTCCCTGTCTCTGTCTGCAAATGAGGACAAGACGTGAGTGCCAAATAATTGCCAACAGTTCCAGTACAAATTATGAAAAAATACTTATGCAATCAACCAAGGCCTTCATTCAAATACCAAATAGATAAGGATAGGATCTAGGGTCCAATTTTCCAAGACAGACAGTAATACTAATAATAGTTGGGTTTGGTCCAGCACCTCTTGGCTCTCTTAGAATGATGGAGAGTTCAGTTAAACTTGAATTGGAATTTGGATTTGGATGGAGGACGACATGAGATGACCCCATGATCCAAATCACCACTTTCTATAAGCAACTTTACTTGGAGGCTATCTATTGCAAAACCTTAGTCTTGAAAAACTTGCACAATACAAAAACATATTACTACTACTCACAAATAATTAAAAGTGCAGCTAGTATGGTAATTCGCAACACTTCTTCCCCATTTTTATTCTCCACTTTTTCTCTTTTTAAACTAAACAGATTGTGTTATCATACTTGAATCCAATTTTTATCTCAGTTAAGGGAAAAAAGAATCTAAAAACTGGTAAATGCTAAAGAAAGCTACTCCACAGTTTCCAGAAAGAAAAGGCAAGACCACACAAAGGAAGAAACTCTACTTTGCTTCATTTCAAATTTTATCAATGACATATACAGATAGAGTACATCACCTTAGGTAAGTTCCTTTCTCCACTTCCTTTTTGTGTGTTGTGATGTCATACATCAGGAAGTTTAAACAGCAATTTGGCCGAACAGCAATGGATCTTCCAAACATTACACTTTTCCGCTTAATATAAGAGAAATAATGCAAAGCCATTTTGTCCCTCCATTGCCTAAACCTTCCAACCATATTTTCTTGAACTCTGTCTATTCTCTAAATTCCAGAAAGCATGTTGGAGTTGCATTTGATACCAATACAGTACACATGAACAACTGCTTCAAATTAGCCCGTAGGGGAAAATGTCAGATCCATAGCAACTCCTTCACATTCTGGCATATTTCTAACCTCATTAAGAATCCTTGTCAGTTGTGTTGTCAATTCCCTGCGAACATAATCGGCACGCTCCTTTGTAATTGATGATTCTGTAAACAGGGTTTCAGTAAGGCAGTGATAATCTTGAAACCATTCATCATCACTAGTTCGAGTAATGTGGTCATCATAAAAATCAAGAGAGCTTTCTTTCCGCCATCTATTTAAATAGTACTTGTCAGGAAGCTGAAAGTAGTTCTTTACTACAAATACACGCAGAGAATGTCTGCATAACAACCCAGAAGATTCAAACTCTTTACAGGAACAATGAATCTGTTCCTCTTCTGGTATCCATATCACAAGACGCTCCCCATCAATCTCCTTAAAGTGGCGCACAAGATATGACCCATTGGACATTTCAGATACTGCATATTGCATGGCGAGCACAAGTTCATGCTGCAAAGCATTGAAGGCAAAAGGCGTCAGAATACTCCTCACATGCTCTTCAATGGGAATGCATGTTTTAATATGCATATACTGCATCTCTTGACGTGCCTGATTTTGAAAATTGGCAGAAATACCAACCTGCAAGTGTTCAAGCATTAAGAAACCATATCAATTGAAGAACTAAAGGCATATATCAAACATGAAAAGTTTTTACTAAATACCTGCTCAAAAAAGCTACGCAAACATGTTTGTGCACTGAAAACTCCTTTCAAAAATGCATCTACAGACTTTGAATATGCTGTCGTAGCCATACAAGCAAGAAAGTAACCCTTCATATACGACAGAGCCCAGGATGCCCGGAATGAATAAAGTAAAGCAATATGTTTATCTGTAGTAAGCCCAAACATTGAAATCATTTGATTCCATTGAAGCTCGAAATCCTCTGTACTCTCCACCCGACATAACACATCAAACTCAGATTTAAATTCTGCACAGCGAGATCCAAGTGAAACAGAGAACCAGCTGGATACCTTGGGAAGAATATTCCATATAGAAACGACATGTTTAGTGCCTGGTAATTCACTTCTTATTGCATCTCTCAGCCCAGGATCAAGATCAGTTAGAATTGTTTGCGGGCATCTCCCTCTCATGAAACGAACAAAAGTCTGTATGCAAAAAGTACAAATCAATGTCAGGGAGCATATAAGAAGACATGGCTAATCTAAAATCAGTATAGTGGATATTGGATAGAAAACCTGTAAAGCCCACGAGAAAGAACGAGGTGTTTCATCTTGCAAAAGAACACAACCAAAGAAAATGGTCCTTCCATGGTTGTCAATGCCAAGCCATGCTCCAAAAAGCACGCCGTACGTGATTGATTGATACGAAGTGTCAAAATAAACTGCATCACCAAACATAGTGTATGCATGGACTGAATCACCATAGGACCAGGCAATGTGTTCAACTTTATCATTCTCATCAACTGTAAAATCATAAACAAAGTCTTCATCTGCTTCTTTTGTTCCCTTGCATGCCTCAAGAAGTTCCAATGTATCGTTTTCCCGTTTTTCAGTGAGCAAAGCATCATTTTCTTGAACAACCTTCTTACGATTTTGGACAAAATTTCTAACGTCCCTCTCTAAAAAGGGTAATTGTCCACCTTGAATCCCCTTTTCCAACTCCAACACCTTCACTATGCGATGTATAGGAAACCCGGCTTTAGAAAGTAATAGTATCCGCTCTTGATCCGCCTCATGAATTTTACGATATGCAGGAAGAAGGCGTACTTGGTCATCTTCCAAAAGCTCATGGTTATGGACATTACTGAATTGCACAACAAACCATTGAGAAACCCCATCAACTACCTCCTTGGACAAATACATTTTTGCATCACATCCACACCGAACTGACTTCCTATCCCTGTGGTGTTCTCCTGTCGGCTTCTTCTTCACTGGTGCAAAGCCAGAACGATAACAAACAAAGTCACGCTTATAAATACCCAATTGAGGGCTAAGTCGGGACCGCTCTTTCCGAATTGAGAAGCCATTTTTTCTAGCAAAGTTGCCATAATACTCAAATGCATCATCGTCACTCTTAAATACCATTCCAACATAAGGGGAAACCATAGCTTCTGAGCCTGCACTATCGTTCTTTACCAATTGGGATGTTATGGATGATGTCTCTTCAGAGTCTCCCTCATATGTCACATAACATTTCCAATCCCCACATGGGCATTGTTGCCGCCGAATCCATATGTTTTTCGATGGTGGAGAAGTCATTTATTACACTTCAATTTAACCGTAAAACTCACCCTTAAGCTACTCCAGTCTTGAGTCACCAAGAAACGTCGCCCGCAGTCTAAACCCTTAAACAAAAACTAAAATTGATAGAAGGAAAAAAAACCAGGGTTTTTTATGGGTTTCACAAAGCGGCAAGTGGTTTAACAGATTGGAGAAAGGAAATCGAACCCCAGAAATATAAAAAGAGCTTAGAACCGGGCTGAAAAATCACGTACCAGTGAAAGAATAGGAGAAAGTGTGCTTAAACCCTTGTTCCTTCTTCAACTTCCTCCACAGCTGAGCTCAGTGTCCTCCTTTTTTTGCTTTTCCCTCTCTCTGAAAATTTCCCAAATAATTGTAACCGAAAAAAGAAAAAACAAAGAAAAAAGGGTTTCAATAATGGAAGCAGAAGCAGATTAGATGGGTCAGGCCTGTTAAAGGACTTGTTTTACTCTGGGCTGGACTTGGGCATAGTCTTAGTTGGAGTCCAAGTTTGGGCTTTAGTTCTGCAGACCTTGTTAACCGAACATAAAAAACACACACAAACACACACATTTCTTTTCTTTTGTTGTGATGATTTTGGAGTTTCACCCAAAATAGGATTGGAAGGGACATAAAATAAGGGAAGGGGCGCAATTAAGGGGAAATATTACTTGTTTCTTAAATGCGATTTTCACTGGATCTTGACCTCGGTTGGGAGATTCTCTAATAAGTATTTTATGTTAAGGATTTGTTATGTACTTATAATCTTAGTTATTATATTGCATTCATTAAATGTATTGGTAGTCTTTTAGATGCAATCCAATTGCCGAGATTAGAAGTATGTAACTAATCCTTAACTTAAATACTTGGAGAATGTCTGTAAGTCCAATAGCTACAATTTGTTAGCTTGGTTTAATTTGTGTGTATTGACCTTGAGGAATTTGTTCTTGGAACTCTTTGTAAAACGAAAGCTCATGGAATGGACGTTGAAAGAGTGGACAAGTGAGAGACACACATGGGATGAGAATGGGATGCGTCCGAGTGGATTTCAAATCCCCCCACTAAGTAGCTATTTTCTGTTTGTGGTGAAAAACTACCCAGTTGGAAGCAGCAGAGTGATTCTTGGTTGCTTCTTCTTCTTCATCACTCTCTAGAATCAGTATGAAATATATTGGTATGATCATGTATGTAGAGAGAGGAGCATGTATATAGACCACCATATTCATTTCTCTGCCTCTTTCTTTATTTTCTCATTTTCTGTATGAGGGAAACAACATTTCATTTGAAGCACTACTGCTGGTGGATTGAGGGAAACGGTTTCATCAGGCAAGCTATTATAGGCATATATTACAAACTGTTTCTTCTTCTCTTTAATTTGTTTACTTTATCATCATATCATATCGCGTGTTCATTTATATTTGCAGTCTTCAATACAAAAAAAGGGTATCAAAGAAGAGATCCATGTCATTGAGTGTGGATTAAATTCAAAGCACGTGTTTATTTGTACTAGGAAGGAAGTCATTTGAATTGATTGTACAAGTTATAGTTCCATTTTTACGATGAGAATTTGAAATGGATTTTTGTCCTCATTGTTAGATTCTTAATCGTAATGACACAGCCAAAGAATGAGTTTGGCAAAAATTATGTCCCTTTAATCTGCTGATTTTGAATATTTACTGCGTGGATCAAGATTCAAAATAAATACAAAGATATTGCATTTCATGGGATGCATTGTCATTTTGATTTTCTGTTGGGGATCAGTTTCAAGGATATCAGTATTTGCCAAGGTGCTGATAACAAATTCACAAAAGAATGGCACTCAAAGGCCTATCAGTTTCAATTGCCGAGACTTGAAATTTTTCTGTGAGATATGCTCTAGTGACACAACCAAATGCATTCCAACTGCATGAGCACTGTTGAATTCTGACCATCAAAAGTTTTGGCTGGAGAAGCTTTGACGGCTGAACTTTTAAGCTAGTGAGAACCAATGTTAACTTATGTTGTGGTTTGCAGTACTTATATAATTTCAATTTTTCTGTGCAGGTCCTTGCTCAAGCAGATCAACCTTCATGTAATGCCCTGATGGCTAGTGATCATGATGATGTTAAACAAGGCTTACTTTCTGAAAAGAAAGAACCTGCTCAACTCAATAACGAAACGAACGCGGTCCATAAAAGAAGAAATCGCCAATATGGTAGCACTCCATGTCCATCATTTAAGAACCGCCTAGAACAAAATGAAGCGGGATCTCAATGTCCTGCAGATTGTGAGCCAATCTATGTGAAACCACAATTTAGGATAAAGCAAGTAATCTTGTTGTTGGTGGCATACATTGGTGGAGGCACCTTCTGCTTTTTCCTGATGAGGCATCAGATAAAAGGTAAAAAAACGAATGCGATTCTGGATTCCATGTACTTGTGTGTAGTCACAATGAGCACCGTTGGATACGGGGACCTTGTACCCAATAGCATGTTGGCAAAACTAGTTGCATGCTTTTATGTGTTCACAGGCATGGCTCTTGTTGGCTTAATTCTTGGCAAGGCAGCAGATTACATTGTAGAGAAGCAGGAAATCCTTTTGGTTAGAGCCATACACTTCCGGGAAAAAATTGGGCCACCAGAGCTTCTTAAGGAGGTTGAGACTGAAAAAGTCAAGTTCAAATGTGTTACGGTTGGAATCCTTCTTTTGCTGCTTGTTATAGTAGGAACTGTCTTCTTATGTCTAGTTGAGAATCTGGAAGTTATGGATGCTTTCTATTGCGTTTGTTCCACCATTACTACTCTAGGCTATGGCGATGAGAGCTTCTCAACTGGAGGAGGTCGAATTTTCGCTGTTTTTTGGATACTGAGCAGTACCATTTGCTTAGCACAATTCTTTCTCTACCTTGCTGAACTATACACTGAAAGAAGGCAAAGATCACTTGTGAAGTGGGTTCTTACTCGGAGATTGACACTCTCGGATCTTGAGGATGCAGATCTTGATCATGATAAAGTCGTCGGGTATGAATATAATGCTCTCTTATTTGTAAATGAGATGTATCAATTCTCACGTGGTTTAACTTGTTGGATTTTCTGTATCAGTGCTGCAGAGTTTATCGTATATAAGCTAAAGGAGATGGGGAAGATCTGCCAGGAAGATATTTCACTGGTGATGGAAACCTTCACAAACCTTGACATTAATCATTCAGGAACTTTGACAGCATCTGATCTAGCACCATCTCATTCTCAACCAACTTTTGAGTACACAGCTTAACGTTTGCACCATTACCTCGGAAATTGTTACAGTAATTTGTTAACGTATTCATTGAGTTGCATTTGAACAACATGTTGCAACTTGTAAATTCTCATTTGGTCTTCTTCTTTTTCCTTTTTCCTACTATGCAATTCAATTACTTTAATCAAGTCAAGAATTCAACTTCTGGTGACATTTTCTAAGCATGATCGTGGAAAGCAACAAGCATGAAATGAAAGACAGGGTTCCCTAAACAGGGACAATAATTATTTCCTCTTCTTTCTGCATGATCATGCTGCCTGCGCTCCTTAACTTAATCTGTGCTTCCATTCTTCTTAAATTTAGGAAGGCATGAAACAAGGAATTGAAAATTTCCCTGTTAATGAGAGAGAGAGGAGAGAGAGAGCTTGCAAGAGTTAAAGTTTCAGCAAATCGGGTAGCAACCGGGATTGCTAGAGTGGAAGGATGAAAATGACAAATTTATGCCCGTTAAACAGCGGCTGGAAGATAGAAGACTAATGCAGGTATTTCTTGTCCGGGAAATAAAAAGAAAATTCTAAATAACCCATTGGCATGAAACCACAATATGTGTCAAACCATGACATAATTCCATAGTCATTTAATGAAGCTGCAATTTTGTGGAGAAATCCTTTCAAAGACAGAGCAAGAGATCCAATATACAGAACAACAAAGTCGTTTGGAATTTTGGAGAGACAGATTGAGATCTGCCAGGCATGATCGTACCTTATATGGCTAAAATATCATCAACTTTCGTCACTAATCATGATACTCTTTGTCATGCTCATGTCCATATCTCCATAACCAAATATGAAGAAAATGCAGAATCTTGAAATCAAGAAACTAATATATGACAAGAGAGATGCATTGGCTGCACAATATGCTGCAGAAGCAACTCTTAGAACGCTACATGCAAATCAAAAGGACGATGAATCTCCTCCTATTCAGTCTGTCATCGCTCCTATTAAAATGCATAAGAATGAGGCAAACGAATTTCCATCTATAAACCCAATTCATGCATTATATTTGAGCATGAGGAGGCCTCATCACACTGGAAAGAGTTCTACATTCCATTTTGGCATTTCTTCAGATTGCAGCTCATCAGCTCTTCTTCAAGCAGAACGGATATTAACAAGTGCACTAGAAAGGGCTCTAATAGTTGAAGAGGTTCAAAGCCACAACTACGAATTGAAGAGACAGATTGAGATCTGCCAGGCATGATTGATCGACTTCCCAGCATAAAATTCTAGTAACTTCTTAGGAGTTTTGGAAACCAGTGATGGATTAGGAAAGAGATCGACTTCCTAGCCAAGGGCTTCTACCCTCCAGTGCAACATGCCAAATTTAGACGATGAAACAGCCAATGTAGCTGGACAGCTAAAAAGAGCAAATAGCCTCAGAAAGAAATCTGGTGCTGGAGAACTTAGGTTGAAAACGAGCTAATGGGCATCTAGAAGTAAAGTTGTTGATAATGGTGAAAGGGATAACGCAGAAATGAAGGCAAATACTGATACTAATAAGAGCGATGATAAAACAGTTGCGTTAGAAATTAAAGCTCAAGGCAGTAGCAACAAGTGCTCGCCCAACACGATAAGTACCAGACCAGCTGTGACAGTGACGATATGGTCTCAGAGTTCCTCTATGACAGACTTCCGAAGGAGGCCCTAAATCTAAGGATGATACTAGTAAAGGAGAACAGAGAAATAAAGGCAAATACTGATACTAATAACAATGATGATGAAACAGTTGCTGCAGAAATTCAAGCTAGCTTAAGACGGTTTGTAGTTATGAATCACTTGTACTTACTGCTATTACTGTTAACAAAACATTCACAATTATCAAGAACAGTTCCAGCAACATTCTTTTCAATACAGAACAACAAAGTCGTTTGGTGCTCAAAATCAAATAGGTCTTATCCTAAACTTGTACCAGCTGCAATCAGCATTAACACTGTTTACTTACAGAAAGTGTCTGGTATTGCAAAGAGATGGCATCCGTTCCCTCTGTAGGATATACATTCCCTCTTTGTAATTTCGGCTTGGCTCATAAGCCTTGTCCTAGGATTATGAAAATCAAAAGCAGTTAGTTTAAACCAGAACTTGCACAGTATAATCTTCATAAGCGGCTAAGAGATTGCCAAACATAAATTGGACCACATGATCAGAGAGTACCGCATGTTTCATTCAAATACAAAAAAGACTTGTTACCCTGACCGGAAAATAAAGTTGAGTTTGAAATATATGGGGCAGTCTTATTAAGCTGATCATAAAAATAGACCACCACTATTCTAAAATCTAGAGTACAACCCATCAATGAATATAGTAATCAGTGATCACAACACAAGGAGAAGGAGCCATCACTAAATTGATTAAAAAAGTTGTTTTCCAAGGTTTTTAAAATGATTACTTCATAGCAGGATCCTGCAAGTCTAACAGCCGATGATCAGTTTAAAATCCATGCTTAAGTTAAGTGTTGAAGCGGAGCATGAACAGAGTCCAAGTATAGCATCAAATATGCTAATTTAGGAGGAGTATATTGCATGGGAAAATTATATAAATCCCAACTTTTTTCCAACTCTCTGACAAGACCAAAACCCACTAAGTGGTATATTTTGATTTTCCAGTCAAATTCCAATCTAATCCATAGCGTATATGTGATATCAAACAGACTGCACTGAATTAGGATGAAGCCCTTAACTTGATTGTTAAGAAGATGAAATCCAATTCCTTGTTTAATTGATCTTCAACTCAACTTAACCAAGAAAAGAGATACATATGTACAAACAACCACTAAATTGCCCAAAATTTTACAGGGAATTAGGAAAATTCTCAACCCCATATTACTAAATTATTTTACCTAGAAAAAAACAAATTAACAATAATTTATAAATAAAAAAAATATTACAGAGATACAAGATATGTGTGGTTGTGGGTTTAAAGAAAATCACTCACAAGATTAAGAACACAGTCACAGAGGCAAGCTACATATCAGCATCCGGACAGGCAAAGCTGTAAGAAAAAAAGCAATTAATCAATAACCTAAACCCAAAACATAAAAACATTTAAAATCAATACGTAACGGATGTGGAGGTGCTTGAAGCCTTTGGTCATCGCCATTTTTGCCAAACAAAAGGTGACCTTCTTGCTAGCACTAGGCGGAATGATTACAGAAACACTGTTGTTGTTGAAATTTTCCCAGAGCGAACCCAATGTTTTAGTCTCCTGCAGTGTTTCGACCACCACTGACATCTTGTTCATTTTTTGCTCAAATTGGAAGAGGGAGTTCCGAACAAAATTATACCTCCTCTCAGCTGATCGGGCTTCACTGAACTTGCGAACGTACTGTTTGAATCTGTTGTGGGAGCGAGCCTTACTCTGGTTCTTGGTGAAATTGGAGATACCATTACTGCAGGCCATTAGAATCAGATCATCAGCGGTGGATCTGACTTCCTCTGGGTTCTGGGAGATGTTAATGCAACCACCATGCCAGAAGAGACCCTCTCTTTTAGAAAAATGAATTAGTGCCTCCATCTCATATTTTTTCTTGATGTTTATGAACCTTCTCTTGTTGGACCCAGTTCTCACCAGAAATTCTCCAAATCTGTTCACAGATTGTTGTGCATGGTTGTACTGGACCAACGCAGGCGCAGCAACCAATTTCTGTTTCATGTCGAAGTAATTTCTGATTAGCAAGTATTCAGCCATGGGTGTGTCACAGAGAAGAAAAACTGAGAAGATGAAATGGGTTTCGTGTTTCAGAGAAGAGAATGAGAAAAACAAAATGGGTACGAAATGGGTCGTGAACTTGGAGGGAAAGATAACCGTCTTGAATCTTTGATTGTTGTTGACAAAAAAGAAAATAACCGTTCTTGATTTGATCGGGCTTTGTGTGCCGTCGATTTGACCTCAATCCCCTCCAAAATAAGCCTGAAATCCCATTGGCTGATACGGTTTCTCCTACCGTTTCTTTTATGCGTCTTGCTTTTAGTAGTATGCACATTTTGAAAAACTTGATAGAACCGAATCGGCTATAATTTTATCAGCTCAGATTCCATTCCGACTGAATTGAGGTGCACCATTTCCTTCCTATGATTCACACACTACCATCAGTCAATAAACCTTTATGAAAACAATTTATTTTCACCATGGGCAATATGACTTTTAACGATCTACACTCACATAGGGAAACACAGGATGAATGACAACGTTGCCAACGCCCGCTTGCCATATAATTAATTTCGTAGAAGAAGCTGAGCTTGGACTCAGTTTAACAGAAAACATATAATAAAATAAAGTAAAGATAAACCATGTATCATTTCGAGTTTGTTTGCTCATACCACAGCACTTACTACTACAGACATACAAATTCAATAGTTGAAGCCACTTTTCCCTTCAGCTGTTGCATAGCATGATCTCTTGCTTCCACTTCCTCTTTGACTTGTTTGACTCCTCTATCCTTTTCACTAGGATATAATTCACTAGGATACTCCCAACGCCGAACAGGATCAATAACTAATTTCTCTAGTGCAATGGCATTTTTTATAAGGTACATGACATGTTCAACAACACATATTTCAGCACGATACCCTACTATTTCTGCTACCTTGAGGTTAGGATGGGGACATTTGCCAACTCTCCATTTTTTCCCTGCTCCTTTTAAGGATGAGAAACCCAACTGCAAAGGACCATTAAGTATATTAATCAGCATATTGTTATAAACCTGCGGAAAAAGAAGTTATCTGTTTACACTTTCCTTACTTCAATATTGGTAATGGAATCAATAGAAGATGAACAAAATAATCGAAACTTCAAATTTAAATAACAAGTTTTATCACATGTAATCTACCAAGAACGAATATATATATCACCTTCAGCACAAGTCTCCGCAAGCAAGGCGACGCCTTCATGAAAGAATTTAAATGACAAAGAGCCCGGCGATTATTTGCTGTAACTATTAGTTCCAAATGCTTGAGATTTGCTAATACAGGAAATACACGATTCTCGTCATATATCTGAAAGCCAAACAAGGAGTAAGGAACTACCCAATCCAAAAAGAAGAAAAGAAACCAACACATCATAATTACATTTACTAACCGCTCCTTCGATATCCAGCATGAGAACCGCTAGCTGAGAAAGACAACTTGAAAGTTGGGAGAAGGGAAGCTCTATGGATTTAAAGTAAAAATGACCCTCATTATAGAAGGAAGCAACAAGATCCTCAGAAATGGATACCTCAACCAGCAAAGGTACGTTACTGAGAAGCAACTTTATCGCATGTCCTTGGTAAATAAATGAAACAAGGTTTGTTGCATCATGAATTTCAATGCTTTCGAGGACCCCACACCATTGTATATCTAAATATTTCAAGGCAATCAACGGACCAACAACTCTTAACTTTACCAAATTCATAGCAGAGTTCACTGTTAATCTTTCAAGAACCTGACAGGTAGACAAAAAGTACTCGAGAACTTCACCAGTCACATCAACATACTGGAAATGAAGAACTTTGAGGAACTTAAATCCAACATTGTATCCACGCGAGTGTAGACTTGGAATGTCAGAATGCATGTGCTTAAGCCTCGAGGTAGAATCGTTTTTGAGACCTAATATTTTGTGGGGAAATTGATAGAGTTCTGTATACGGAGTAACAAAATCAAAACGAAACACCAGCTCAAGTATTTGAACTCTCCTACTCATTGCATAATGAATCCATTTATCAATGGAACTTGTAAAACGAGAATTTATAGAAGAGCAAACCCTAAATCGTTCAATGGCTGGGCCTCTATGTTGTTCCACCACAGTGTTTACCCAATCGATGTATCTACGTGTTTCCAGGTCTTTCAGTTCTGGTTTCATTTGAAAGAAGCGCCATAAATTTTCATGGACTTCAAATTTAGCATCAAAATTGAGAGTTGTAGTAGACGTCCACACATACTGCCATCGCTTAGAAAGGACACTGGTAGCTGCTGCTTCCTTTAGTGGCAAAAGAGACACTATACTAAAAAGAATTTCATCTGGCAACTCGCTAATTCTGTCCACCAAGATGTACTCACCCTTATTTTTCCCTTTCTTTCCCAAGCTTTTCTTTTTTCTTTTCGGCATGCACCTACTTCCTCTATAATGGTTCCTAGCAGATGATGCTTCCTTTAGCAGCAAGAATGACTACAATTTCATGGTTCCACTAAGTTATTAAATTTATTTAACAAAAAGCATTAGCAAATATTATAACGACAACAGTAAGGAAACCAAACAAAAACTCACTTTTACAACACGGACAGCAAAAGGGATGCAAATTTGTACAAAGTTAGATATGTGGATCATGTAGAAAAATAAAAATAATAAAAAAGAAGCAATTTTTAAACGTTTGGTATCGTGAAATTTAAATTTAAAAAGAAAGGTGCAATTTTGATGCTAGTTTAATAGCTGGGAAAAAGAAAGATGCAAAATTTTCAAACCAATTAGATATTTAGGATAGAAAAAGAAAAACGTAAACTTTGGAGTTTTATCTTCAAAAATCAGTCTTCACCTTGCTTTGGGAAAATTGAGAGGCTGAACCCTTTTTCTTCATAAAATCTGGCAGGGCAGTGCTTCTTCCCTCTTAAATGATCTGACTAGATGTAATTAAACCCTAATAGAAATTCAGAGAATAAATTTGCCTTCAAAATACAAAAATCCAATCATAGTTCAATGACTCAGCAAAAACACAAAATCAAAGTTAAGAAGAAACGCTTACGTCAGCTCGAGCGGCGGTACCGTTTACCGAAGTTAGATCTCACTATGCGATTGTTGCAAGCGCCACCTCACTGGTCTGGTCGGACAGATCGATTTTGCTTAGGGTTTCAATTTCTAAGGACATAAGCGCTTTAGAGTTGGAGAGGACAGAGATTATTGGGGGATTGAGTATACTTTTCTTTCCTATGATAGGGAGGACAGAGGGAGTCAAGTTCAATTTGAAGAGGGAAACTGTTCAGATTGTCAAGGCCATTTAAAAAGAAAATAAGGTTGTTATATTGCTTTTTTCCCCACGTGCTTTTATTTAAAATAATAATAAAAGGCAACTTTTTTTGGCGGTTGCATAAAAAGATAAAAGTTAATTTTGAATGTTCCAAAAAATCGAATTGAAAAAAAGATAGAAATCCTCTTATAAATAATTTATGTTAAAGATTGGTCACATATTTCTAATTTTGATCGTTGGATTGCATTCATTAAATGTGTTGGTAGTCCCTTAAATGCAATTCAACGACCGAGATTAAAAGTATGTAACAAACTCTTAACTTAAATACTTATTGGAGAATGTCCCGAAGAAGAGAATTAAGTGATTTGCAGATTAATTAGTTAAAGAGTATATGTTATATGTTATGAAACTTAGTATCTTTCAAGTATCTTGTTAAGCAATTCACTTTAAAGATATACCTTTTGTGTTTAAAAAAAAGGTCAAAAGGATATATAGGCTTACAAGTATTTTGTGTTGGATTTCCTAAACACTCATATTTCTCTCGTAAAAGGTTCAAAGGACATAGATTTAAGAGGTATCTTGCGTTTGATTTACTCCCCAATCAATTGTTAGTAAATTCAATTTTTTTTTAAAAAAAAGCCAATTTAAGGTCTACCGTAAGATTCTTAAAGATTCCATCCAAATTCTGCATGATTAATTTTTGGTTTCATTATAGACAAAGTGAACCTAACACATATTCAAAAAAGTATATAACCCAACTGCCTTGCAATTTGCAAGTATTATTTCCTGAATTTACATCTTAGTTGCTGTGAAATTTAATTATACATTCTATATACATGCACTGGTATGAATACAGAAGAGATTCGCATTGCTCAATGGATACTAGAACAGTGTGTCTGAGGCTGCTTAGAAACTAGTTTGTGTAGTCTGGCCTGCCAGCAACATAATCAATGATTCCTTGACCTTGTGTGTTTCTGTTGACAGCTGAGAAACACCACCAAAGGCGATTACTGCCACCAAGAAGAGAGTTGTGGAGGCAAAGAGAGGCCAAAAGTAACCCAAAATGGATAGAAGCCGAGGGGCTGCATACAGAAGCAAGGAACATATCAATGAAACGAAGATTGCTATGCCAAAATGATATCTGTAGTTGAAAAGCTGTGGTGAGATATCATCAATGGCCATGGCTTGCTTTCTTTAGGTTATTGTTGAGAAATATGAACCCTATGGTTGTATCTCTCAAAACCATTATTTTGACATAGATAGATTCCTTGTTCATTTCTTTGGTTGGTGGGTTACTTTGTTCCTTTTCAAGTACGTAGCTACTTTCCGCATGGAATGATGATTACTAAGGAAAGGAATGGCATCTTTGTTTTTCTCCTTTGTGGTTATGGGTTTCATGAAAAGATTATATTAGCAAATAGGTTGTTTAAGTTGATTACCTTTTGTTTATTAAAAAAAAGAAAGAAATTGAAAATGACACACATTCGTTTCTGCATTTGAAGCATCATGGTGGGTCTGTAGGAATTGGTTTTCATAATGTTGAATGCTATAGAGTTGAGTTGTTCAATAGATAAAGGAGCATATGGTTTTATAAGAAGGAGTATACTTGCTTATCTCGTGTAAGGATCCGATTTGAGAGTTTTCTACTTGTTCCTCATGGATGACGACCTACTACTGGATCCCAAAGGACTCAAATGTTAATAGATTTGAAGATTTTATAGTTAAGACGATTCAACATTCCTTTGCCAAAAGGTACTTGACAAATAGAATGTCATTCAAAGACTTAACAGTCTTTTTTGTTTTAAATTAAAATAATCTACTATTGCAGAAAAGCGTCGTGAATTAGTGATTGCTACCCGGGGGGTGGGAGATCAAGGCTGTGACAGCTTTACTGAAGTTATAAAGGATATGGCTGTAGAAGAGATTAGTACAGAAATTGGCCGAGAAACAGAGTCACTGCAAGTCTTCTGGAGCATAGGGCAGGTAGGTAGGTGTGTTTAGTTATTGAGATTTTTGGTATCCGAACTTATATGGCTAAAATATCATCAACTTTCGTCACTAATCATGATACTCTTTGTCATATATCTCCATAACCAAATATGAAGAAAATGCAGAATCCTGAAATCAAGAAAATAATATACGACAAGAGAGATGCATTGGCTGCACAATATGCTGCAGAAGCAACTCTTAGAACGCTACTTGCAAATCAAAAGGACGATGAATCTCCTCCTATTCAGTCTGTCATCGCTCCTATTAAAATGCGTAAGAATGAGGCAAGTAAGAATGAGGCAAACGAATTTCCATCTATGAAACCAATTCATACATTATATATGAGCATGAGGAGGCCTCATCACACTGGAAAGAGTTCTACATTCCATTTTGGCATTTCTTCAGATTGCAGCGCATCAGCTCTTCTTCAAGCAGAAAGAATATTGACAAGTGCACTAGAAAGGGCTCTAATAGTTGAAGAGGTTCAAAGCCACAACTACGAATTGATGAGACAGATTGAGATCTGCCAGGCATGATTGATCTGAATTTACATCTTAGTTGCTGTGAAATTTAATTATACATTCTATATACATGCACTGGTATGAATACAGAAGAGATTCGCATTGCTCAATGGATACTAGAACAGTGTGTCTGAGGCTGCTTAGAAACTAGTTTGTGTAGTCTGGCCTGCCAGCAACATAATCAATGATTCCTTGACCTTGTGTGTTTCTGTTGACAGCTGAGAAACACCACCAAAGGCGATTACTGCCACCAAGAAGAGAGTTGTGGAGGCAAAGAGAGGCCAAAAGTAACCCAAAATGGATAGAAGCCGAGGGGCTGCATACAGAAGCAAGGAACATATCAATGAAACGAAGATTGCTATGCCAAAATGATATCTGTAGTTGAAAAGCTGTGGTGAGATATCATCAATGGCCATGGCTTGCTTTCTTTAGGTTATTGTTGAGAAATATGAACCCTATGGTTGTATCTCTCAAAACCATTATTTTGACATAGATAGATTCCTTGTTCATTTCTTTGGTTGGTGGGTTACTTTGTTCCTTTTCAAGTACGTAGCTACTTTCCGCATGGAATGATGATTACTAAGGAAAGGAATGGCATCTTTGTTTTTCTCCTTTGTGGTTATGGGTTTCATGAAAAGATTATATTAGCAAATAGGTTGTTTAAGTTGATTACCTTTTGTTTATTAAAAAAAAGAAAGAAATTGAAAATGACACACATTCGTTTCTGCATTTGAAGCATCATGGTGGGTCTGTAGGAATTGGTTTTCATAATGTTGAATGCTATAGAGTTGAGTTGTTCAATAGATAAAGGAGCATATGGTTTTATAAGAAGGAGTATACTTGCTTATCTCGTGTAAGGATCCGATTTGAGAGTTTTCTACTTGTTCCTCATGGATGACGACCTACTACTGGATCCCAAAGGACTCAAATGTTAATAGATTTGAAGATTTTATAGTTAAGACGATTCAACATTCCTTTGCCAAAAGGTACTTGACAAATAGAATGTCATTCAAAGACTTAACAGTCTTTTTTGTTTTAAATTAAAATAATCTACTATTGCAGAAAAGCGTCGTGAATTAGTGATTGCTACCCGGGGGGTGGGAGATCAAGGCTGTGACAGCTTTACTGAAGTTATAAAGGATATGGCTGTAGAAGAGATTAGTACAGAAATTGGCCGAGAAACAGAGTCACTGCAAGTCTTCTGGAGCATAGGGCAGGTAGGTAGGTGTGTTTAGTTATTGAGATTTTTGGTATCCGAACTTATATGGCTAAAATATCATCAACTTTCGTCACTAATCATGATACTCTTTGTCATATATCTCCATAACCAAATATGAAGAAAATGCAGAATCCTGAAATCAAGAAAATAATATACGACAAGAGAGATGCATTGGCTGCACAATATGCTGCAGAAGCAACTCTTAGAACGCTACTTGCAAATCAAAAGGACGATGAATCTCCTCCTATTCAGTCTGTCATCGCTCCTATTAAAATGCGTAAGAATGAGGCAAGTAAGAATGAGGCAAACGAATTTCCATCTATGAAACCAATTCATACATTATATATGAGCATGAGGAGGCCTCATCACACTGGAAAGAGTTCTACATTCCATTTTGGCATTTCTTCAGATTGCAGCGCATCAGCTCTTCTTCAAGCAGAAAGAATATTGACAAGTGCACTAGAAAGGGCTCTAATAGTTGAAGAGGTTCAAAGCCACAACTACGAATTGATGAGACAGATTGAGATCTGCCAGGCATGATTGATCACTTCCCAGCATAAAATTCTAGTAACTTCTTAGGAGTTTTGGAAACCAGTGATGGATTAGGAAAGAGATCGACTTCCTAGCCAAGGGCTTCTACCCTCCAGTGCAACATGCCAAATTTAGATGATGAAACAGCCAATGTAGCTGGACAGCTAAAAAGAACAAATAGCCTCAGAAAGAAATCTGGTTCTGGAGAACTTAGGTTGAAAACGAGCTGATGACAGTGACGATATGGTCTCTCAGGGATAGACTTCCGAAGGAGGCCCTAAATCTAAGGATGATACTAATAAAGGAGAACAGAGATATAAAGGCAAATACTGATACTAATAACAATGATGATGAAACAGTTGCTGCAGAAATTCAAGCTAGCTCAAGATGGTTTGTAGTTATGAATCACTTGTACTTACTGCTATTACTGTTAACAAAACATTCACAATTATCAAAAACAGTTCCAGCGACATTCTTTTCAATACTATTCGCATAGGATTTTTTCGATATGTAAAAGCAATGAGAGTGCAATACATCACAGGCATACAACAAAGAGGGAATATTGATCTTCCACTTCATTATATACCGTTATATTGTCTCCTCTGTCAAAAATGGGATCTACTCCAGCAGGCTCCTCTTGTATATGGCCACTTTCCCATATCGAATCCTCCCCCTGTTCCAAAACTTATAAAGGTAAGAAAAATGAAAAGAGCTAAATCTGACCCAGAAAAAAGCTAAGAAGTGGTATTTTGATTTTCTAGTCAAATTACCTACAGGAAGCAAATCTAATGATAAGGCTGATTGACTTAAGTGACTAGATAAGGACAAGGAAACACAATAGAAGTTGTTGGTTGAGTTAGAGAAAATCTAATAATGATACATTCATTATGTGAAAATGAGGTCAGAGGAGTGGAATTCCAATGTAATCCATAACGTTTATCAATCAGCTTGCACTGAATTAGGATGAAGCCATTAACTTGACTACTGAGAAGATGAAACCCAATTCCTTGTTTAATTGATCTTCAACTCAATTTAACCAAGAAAAGAAATACATATGTACAAACAACCACTAAATTGCCCAAAATTTTACAGGTAATTAGGAAAATTCTCAACCCCATAGTACTAAATTATTTTACCTAGAAAAAAACAAATTAACAAAGATTTATGAGAAGAAAATTAGGGTTCAGGGCTAAAGAAAATTACAGAAATACAAGATTAAGAAAATCACTCACAACATTAAGAACACCGAGGCAAGGTAGATCTCAGCATCCGATAGGGTAAAAGCTGTAAGAAAAAAGACAATGAATCAATAACCTAAACCCCAAAATATACTAACATTAAATCAAATTAATTAGGATTAGGAATGCTTACTGCAAGTGTAGGTCGGTGAAACCCTTCGCGGAGGCCATGGTTGTCAATTTAGAGATGGTTTTCTCGGAAGCAGCGGGTGGAACGATAACAGAAATGGTGGTTTTGGTGAATTTCTTTGTCAGATCACTCAGCTCGTCAGCCTCCGCCGCTGTTGCCACCACCACCGGCAAATTATCCAATTTCTCCTCAAAATTGTAGAGGGAGGACTGAGCCTTGTTGTACCTCCTCTTAGCTGATCTGGAGGCTTCCATCATCTTGGTAGTGTACTTTTTGAAGCTCCTGCCAAAGGACTTCTTCGAGATGGTGCACGACCAGATTTTAGCCTTGGTGGCCCTTGCAGCAAAGTGCATAGCCTTGGACATCACTATGACACGACGGCCAGTACGCCCCGTTGGCCTCTTTAGCACCAGAAAATTTAGTGCCCACATCTGCGTGATCACGAAGGCCTTCCCCCTTACATTTGTCAGCGCTTTCTTGAGAGCATTTTTGGCATCATTTGCTTGCTCCTTCAATGACTTCACCTCCTTTTTCAGCTTCACGTAATCAGCAATGGTTAAGTAGGCAGCCATGGAGAATTTCAGTTTCAGTTTGAGAGAAGTGAGAAGAAACGAAATGGTATTTTGGTTTTCAGAGAAGAAAAGAAGGTGAGAAGGATCGTGAACCTGGAGGGAAAGACAACCGCTCGTGAATCTTGATTGTTAATGACCAAAAAGAAAATAACCGGTTTTTGTTTGATCGGGCATTGTGTGCCGTCGATTTGACCTCAATCCCCAAAAAATAATCCTGAAACCCGATTGGATGAAACTGCTTCGCCGGGATTGCCAGCGTGGCATTTCACTGATTCAAATTACAATAACCCCATGGGCACATGTCCACCAGAGTACCCAGCCCAAACTATTTTGGGCTTTCATGGTCAAATTATATATGGTGTAGGATAGAAATTTGGACTTTGGGCTGCCACAATTTTTTGGAATTTTAATCCAAGTGAATGTGATCACCAAAATCGCAATGAAGTGATTTTTTATTTTTTATTTTCCTTTTCCAAAGTTAGGAAGGGGGAGGAGAGAAAAACTCACACACATGGGTATTGTGGGAGTTTTGGTCTTTTATCTTTTCTCGAGTGTTAGTTATCATTACATACGACTCTTATATTCTCACCAGGGTCAATTTCAATTTGGTATTTTGAACTCTCATCTTTAAGGCACGTTTCTTCATGCACTCTCAATTTTAACAATAAAGTATTATATGCTTGTAAATTTGTTGCAATGTGGTTCTGCCATTAAAATGACCGTTAAAGAATCTGTTAGGTGATGACATGGTAAACGTGGGATCCGCTTCTTTAAACTTTTGTTTAAATTATGAATAAAATATTAAACTTTTGATTAAATTATGAATAAAATATTATGAAATTGAAGGGAAAAAAAACTAAGACTCATTACCCCCCCCCCCACCCCCCTTTTTCTTTTCCGT